CATTGTCAGGAGTGTGAGTAGGAAGGGGTGAGCGGGTACTGTTGGGTGTCAGTGCATGTGTTGGTTGATTAGAGTGCTAGGAGGTAGCATGTGGCAGGTGTGATATCATTCTTTGATCGCCGGTCTTGGCGTCTCGCTGTAGAGTGTCTCATTAGTTACAGTTTGCTCTGCAATAGTCCCGACCGCCTCTGGTGTGGTCACACTTATAGTTGGCCAAGCCATTTGCTTTAAAATGTGGACTGATATGAGAAGCTCAAAATCTACAAAAACAATGCCATACTGAATTGACGGCGACAAAAGGGTAAGAGGGTGTCAGATCTATTGGTGCCTGTGGTTGGTGGAGGTGGTGTGTGGTTTGTTAGGGTATGGGCGTAAGCCATTCCAATTCAGGTTTTTGAATAGATGTAAAGTCACAGAGTCATTTTTCAGAATTGACTTCCTGCTGTGTGGATCAGGCTATCAGGATAGTAGTGTTAACTATTAGGTTTGTTGGAATTGCGTCCTTTTTGATGACCATGATGTTGAGTCTTGTGATGAATGTGTTCATTAAAGGTCCAGTGCTAGGTTATATACAAATTGGAATGTCCTTGTTGTGCTATTGTGTTTTTATATAATCTATAAACTATGTGCGAGGGGTGGATCTAGAAATGTTATCAGTATTCATGGGGTGGGTCAATGAGTGGTGGCAGGGATGAGTTTCACTGCATGCCCCTGGAGAAGTTATAAGTTTGTTTGTCTGGAGGGTTTGTAAGGCGCCATGTGGCTGAGGATGCATTAATTGTTAGACTTGGAAGTCCACAATTTGATTCGAGATGTACGGTGTTGTGAACTGTGCGAGATAACCATCAGGATCTCATGTATTGTTGGCACAAACAGTTATATCCTACGATATTTGCGGATTCATAGTTATGTTTTTTTGTAGTGTGGCAGGACATTATATGTTATTTGAGTTGATATGTTTGTTAACTGAACTATATTAACTGATGGTGTTTTGTTCATCTCTTAGACCGTAGCAGGGGTTATCTTTGAATCGATCAGACTTGCCTTGCAAATAAGTATCATTTATATTATTACTGTTCATCGATGTTTTTGTCTGTATTGTTAATATATGATAATTTATTTTATACATATTCATTATTTAGTTGTCGCGTATTCGAGTGGCTGTCAATTCCTGTGATTATGGATTCACATAGTCAGTGTTTATATATTTTAATATAATGAGTTCTGATATTTTTTGGAGGAGTTAATGAGTGAATGGGTTTCCTCTAAGTATGCTTGTCACGCGCGTCCTTGTGTGTTCAATATTTGAAAGGACAAGTAATTACTATCGATAATAATAAGAATCAAGTATTTTGAACCAGTCAGTCGCGCTCCATAACTTGCGAGTTGTGCAATAACGTTGTGACAGCCTTGACTTTACATCTAGAAGAAGCAAACATTAAAGAAGTGACTAACTGCATCAGTTTCAGGTAAAACGTGGATTCCAGTTTGTCTAAAACATATACATTGGCTTGCAGTTATTATCCAGTGGAAAGTCTTACCTTACTGGCCTAGGGGTGGTATGGTTAATCAAAGTTATCTTTTTTTTTTAATCACGATGATTTGTTGGGAGTCGGTGGTTTTGGTGGTTTCCGTCTTATTTTTGACTGGTCTCTAGGTACTTTAAACTGTTTTTTGGGGGCATATGTCAATGCATCAGGTAAGCGAGTGGTTTGTGTGATGCTCAACATGTCTTTGTTCGTGAGCAGATGCATCAAGCAGTTGGTCATGCCTATAACGGATGCTGAATACGGCATTACCCATTCTTGTTCGAGGCAGAGGTAGACAGCGCTTCATCAAACTGATGATAAGATCCAAAGCTTTTAGTGCGTTTTTGAGTTCAAGGTTGCTTGAGGTTAGTCAGTATCTTGACCAGTCTTCTGGTCTCTGTTTATTGAGAACTCAGCTAATATACCTTTCATTCCTTCCGTATAGCTTAGGTCCGAAATGCTCCTCGTTTTGCGCCGTCCCGTTCAAATGAAAATCGCCGCCAGAGCATGGAGTGTCTCCAATTCTCTCAAGTAGGTGTCACCTGACCAGGATGCCTGCCAAAGTTTGCAGGGCCGGAGAGAGCCTGCGCGCATGTGGGGTCCGTGCAACTCTACGCGGGCTATGGCTGGGTGTGCAACTGCCCGTGTAATTGTGGGCAAGGCTGGCGTGAGGTTGTTGGGGAGGATATATGGGTGGCACGGCGGCGTCTTGGTCTGACACTCTGGGGAGGCCTCTTTCATTAAAGTTTTATCTTCTTGGATCATGTTGGCTCCTTCTGATCGTGCTGGCGGTGCTTTGTTTGTGTTTAACAACGATGGTTTGTGGTGAGAGGGTGGGGGGGCTGTCGTGGGGGCGAGAGGTGGCTGACCCTGCTGGGGGATTTTTTTGGGTTGTTGGTGGTAGAGGTGCACTTGAGGTTTTTCCCGTGTGCCGGCCGTGTGGAGATTTGATGCGCATGTAATGCTTCGCATGTGCAGGTTCTTCCACGAGCAAGTTTTTGTCCATGGGCCAGCACTCTATGCTACTGAGGTAGTGATGCGTGTGTAGGTGTTGCCTATCTCAATGCTTTGCGGCCGCCTTGACAGTTTTTTTGTGCGCGCCATCTGGTTACAACGTGTTGGGAGGGAGAGTGGGGGTTGGGCAGTGGTTCTGTTAACGCAAAGGCCGGGGTCGGGGTTTTGTTTTGGTGGGGGCGGGCGAGGGTGATTGTCGGAGGGGGGTGGTGTGGACGACCAGGGCGTTTATACATTCAGGGCTCCACCCACTGTACATCTGAGTCCAGTAAGAGGGCGGAGCCATGTGTGATATATAACGGGGGTTCGTATTGGAACCCTAGTTATATAACCACAGGGCGGAGCCCTCTAGCCTGGGGGCCCTGTCTTATCCATGCCCGCCGCTGAAGAGGGTGAAGGATGACAGTCGGGAGGCGTAGCCCGTCTTATATACCTGTGGGCGTGCACGCCGCATTCAGGATAGGCCTCGCCCCGATTGCAAAACGGCTAGCGGTTTATGCAACCTCAGTAGGTGAATGCCCGCATAGCATGATAGAGAGTAGTGACCATAAAGTGTCTGTAGAGGCTCCGCCCTGGTGCTTTATATAACTAGGGTTACTAATACGTAAGCCCCGTTTCATGCAAAAATTTTCCATTTTCAGCAACTGCCTTTTGCCTCTTCACAGATATTACAATGATTTATTCATTCAGACAGCTGAATGTGTGGCTACATACAGAAGTGTGGGGATGTATTGGTGCCATGGCAGGGTTGTGTGTGAGGAGGGTGCTACGGCCGCTGCCCCTCCTGGGGCTGTTAAGTCTTGTGTGTGTGTGTGTGTGTGTGTGGTGGTGTGTGTGGTTGTGTTGTGTGTGTGTGTTGTGTGTTTGTGTGTGTGTGTGTGTGTGTGTGTGGTTGTGTGTGTGGTGTGTGTGTTGTGTGGTGTGTGTGTTGTGTTGTGTTGCGCGGCGCGCATATGGAGCGCGCAGGTCTCCTCTGAATGCCACTGGTCGTCCCGCCCTCGCAACATCCGAACCGGTGATTGGATAGACGTCATCCAATCCCCGCCCTATTCCGGCACGTCTTCCGGGGGAGGAGTACAAAGGCTTGGAACGGAGATCATTCGGGAGGCTCTGTGTTGGGAGACAGACGCCTCTAGCCTCTTGATACTTTACTTGTGGTGTTTAAGCTATTAGCTCCCCTATAATCCGTAAACTACTTAGCAGAGTGCAAGTAGTGTGTTGTGCCTCGTATTATGTTGTGTTTATAACGTGTTAGCTTAGACCCAGGTGATTAGCACCTGTTGAACAGCTACTTGTGTTCGTATTGTGTTAGCTTAGACCCAGGTGATTAGCACCTGTTGATCAGCTGCAGCTGTGTGGGTGCAGCCTTCCTCATTTTCAGTTGTACCACGTTTACCGTGAGGTTTAGTTTTCTTTCTTATTTAGTGTATGTACACAGACTCCTTTTTAGAGTCATCCCTTTGTTTGGTCGTTTATGTAAACTTGCGCCTTTTGGCCTTTTTTGTTTGTTCCAGGCTGCCTGCCTGCCATTTTGTTTGCCCAGCTGGTATAATAAAACCACCTATAATTATTACCAATTCCACTCTGGTCGTGTCGCTTCCTTTCCTTTCCCCTAGTCCAGTCGGGAACGTAACACAGGGCCTTTAGCTTAGCGATGGTGAGGCCTAGCTTTGTGCGCCTATGTTTGTTCATAGCCTAGCGTTAGCATTTACTTCTGCCAATAGCATTTCCACTCAAAGACCATAAAAGTGTGTTAATACGTGGAGAATATCCAGCTGAAAAAAACTATAAGTAACATAAACATGTTTGCCAAAGATTTCGGCAATATTCT